GGGGGTAAGACTGAGAAAAACTGGATAAATTATGTTTACTGCATTGAAGTCTATGAGGGAGAGAATAGTTTAAAAGTATTATATTTTAGGGCATTATGTTTATCGTAAGAGTACAGAATGAAGGTTGCAGAGTGGATTATATTTGGGGTGGGGTGGGGTTGGGGGTGTGCAGGGGGGGTATTGCATACCAATGAAGGAGTTTTTCTTTGGTTTTTCAAGGAGAGGAACGAACAGGGGGTGGGGGTGGGGAGAAAAGTGCAACAATGAATAAATGGAATTTTAAAATCTCTGTAGATGTTCATTGAAATAAAAGTAATTAAATAAATTTTAAAAGAAAAGAAAAAAATCTTTAATAAAAGATCTGTGTAACTTAAAAAAAACAAAAACAAAAACAAAACAAAAAAAACCACCCCTGCTTCTGATCTCATTGATGGTTTCAATTGTTTTTCTATTTTCTATGTCATTGATTTCACCTCTTGTCGTTATAATTTTTTTTCTAGAGGCTGTAGGATTAGATTGTTGTTCTTTTTCTATTTGATGAAAGTGTTGAGTTAGATCATTGATTTTTCTTTTTTCTTCCTATTTTCCCTGTGTTCCTATTACTATGAACTATCCCCTGAGGACTGCCTTACTGCATCCCAGAGGTTTTGTTATGCTGTGTTTTCGTTTTCATTTGTTTCAAAGGAATTTCAAGGTTATGTCTTCTTCATCTATTGTGCCTTTAATCATATAATGCCCTTTCTTATCTTTGATGGTGGTTTTCAATCTGAAGTCTGTTTTATCAGAAATTAGTATTGCCACTCCTTTTTTGTGGTTGCCATTTGTTTTGTATATTTTTTTCCCCCCAGACTTTGATTTTTATTTTGTCTGTCCTTTCTTTTCTATTTTTTTTCTTTTGGTCTCTTGTAGGCAACATAACTAAGGGCTTTGTTTTATTATCCTTTCTACTACTCATTTTTTCTCTTTATTGGTGCATTTAGTCCATTCATATTAAGTGTGATTATTGTCAGGCCAGGTTTTACTTTTGCCACTTTGTTGTGCTTCTTTTTCTGGTATTTCTGTTTACTATAGCACAGCCACTTTCCTTTGGTGTCTGTTTATGAAGGATTTCACGTAAAATTTCTTGAAGATTTGGTCTTGTTTTCACAAACTCCTTAAGTTTCTTCTTTTCTGACAATGATCTAGTATCTCCTTCATATTTGATGAAGAGCCTTGCTGGGTGTAAGGTTCTTGGATGGCAATTGTTTTCTTTAACTTTCTGTATATGTCATCCCATTTTCTTCTAGCTCACATGGTTTTTGTTGAGAAATGAGAACTTAATCTCACTGTTTTCCCTTTGTAGATGACTTTGTTTTTCTCACACTCCTTTTAGTATTTTATCCTTATCTTTTAATTTGGAGAATTTTATTATGGTATGTGTTGATATTTTTCTTTTTGGGTCAAGTCTATTTGATGTTAGATGTGCTTCTTAATTGTGTACCAATGAGGGAGTTTTTTCTTTTGCTTTTTAAGGAGAGGAGCAAACGGGGGTGGGGGTTGTGCGGGGAGAAGGGTGCAACAATGAATGAATGGAATTCCAAAATCTCTGTAGATGTTCATTGAAATGAAAAATAAACAAACTAAATTAAAAAAAAATTTAAAAAATTAAAAAAATGTGGATTTCTCCGTTCTTCAAAATACTTGGGAAGTTTTCTTCTAGTATTTTTTTCCACATTTTTTTCAGTGATTCCCCTATCACTCCCATTTTCTGGAATTCCAGTCATACTTATGTTGTTCCATTTAATGTTATCTCACATGATTCTGATGTTTTCTTCATTTCTTCATCTCATCTCTGATTTTTCTTCTACTATGTGTCCAGTGATGCTTTTGTCTTCCAACTCACTGACTCTGTGTTCCATCTCTTCTGTCCTACCAGTGTGTTAGATACCTTTGCCAACTTAGTCTTAATATTCTGGATTTCATTTTTATGCTTTCTCTTGTTTTTAATACTCTGTTGACTGTACCTTCTCTGTCTTGTGATGATTTTTTAAATTCCTGTATTTCTTTATCTGTACTATCAAATCTTTCTTCCATCTTTTATGTTTTTTTCCAGAGCTGTTCACATTGCTCCTAATCAATATATTTCTTTTCAGTTGTTGTCTCTGGGGTATTTGCTTTCTTATTGGCTTCCATTGTTTCTTCCATTATTTGCATCTTCTTCTGTAGCTGTTCAAATAACTCCACATCAACATATTAATTCTGGTTCTCTCTAACTGTTGTATTCATTGGGTGCACTTTGTTAGGAGAAGTTTATTTTGTTCTTTCATGATGACTGAGGTAGACTGCTTGCTTTCTTGACATTATGTGAATCTTTTCTTAGTAGATGTTAGATTATGAAAATGACCCAGATTATGAGAATGTTTTGTGAAGGATCTATATGTTAATAATAATATTAACTAATCTGCTCCGTTCTTCAGCCAAAGTGCCTGAATGGTAGAATAGAGAAATCAGTTGCATTCCAGAAACTGCAGCTTGGCCTAGCTTCTTCAGTTTGAGCTTAACGAATACCATGTGGTGTAGCTAGACAGCATTGTTTCACCCAAAGTACCTGAATGGCAGAATAAGGAAGTCTGTTCTCTACCAGAAACTGTCTCACCCTGGCTCTGTCTAGCCTGGACCCTTCAGCTTGAGCTTAAAGGGATCTCACATGGTGTATCTAGACAACAGTATTTCACTCAAAGTACCTGTGATATTGTTGCTCCTGGCACTTGACAGAGGCCATGGAAGCTGGGCAGTCTCCAGGTGATAAGGCAGTGGAGTCTCCAGGCAGTAGGGGCAGTGGTCTAGTGATAGGCGGGATTGTAGTTTGGGCTACTGAAACTGCAGCCCCTCAACCTGGCAGGAGTGGTTCTGGTGCAGGGTGTGAGTGCACCTAGGCAGGGCTGCAGCCTTTAGCAGATGCTAGGGAATGGGTGCCTGGAAGATGGTCCTGGGCCAGCTATGTCACACAGGCCTTGATGTCTTACAGCAGAGTGATGGTAAGGTCCCACAAGAGGAATGCGACTCACCAGAGGGGTTAATCTCACCAGAGGAGCATGTTGTCTCCTATAGGTTAATCTTTGTTTTTCCCTAGCTGCTTCCAGAATTCTCTCCTTGTCTTTGATCCTGGCAAATTTGACTATGAAATGCCTTGGTGCTTTTTTTTTTTTTTTTAATCTCTTCTATTTGGGCTTTGCTCACCCTCTTGGATTTATATTCTCTCATTATTCATGATACCTGGATAATATTCTTCTAGTATCTGTTCTAGTTTCTTTTCCGTGTCTTTATTTGCTTCTTCAGTACTGAAATTCAAATTATGTGCATGTTATTCCACTTGATTGTGTACCATGTTATTCTTTGGCTTTCTTTATTTTCCTCAGCAAATCTCACTCTCTCTGACACCCCTCTCCCCCCAGTGCTATAGTCCCTGTGTAAGTCCATCTCATCCAGGTTCTTCCCCTTCTGTGGTATACTTCCAAGCATGATAACCTTCTCCAAGGACTGGTCTCTCTTGGAAATATGGCCAGAAAGTGTTAGTTTCAAAATCCTTGACTCCAAAGAGCAACCTGGATTCAACTTCTCTAGGACAGAACTTGGAAGTTCATGGTATATTTCATACTCTTCTCCAGCACCACAACTCAAAAACATTTGGATCACCCTCTGCTATTGTTAGTCATTGTCCGTGGCATAGATCAGGTGCACCTTAGACTCTAGACTGATATCATTGTTCTATAACACTACGGAGAAGTCCCTGATTATTAAACTTCCCAATTAAACTCATCTTTTGATTTTCTAACTGCTACTTCCAAGAGTTGGAAGCAGAAGTAGCATGCCCCTGGTAACTCTATGAACTTTGAAAAATGACAATAATTATAGAAAAGATGCAGGTCTTTTGTTCATATGATTACTATGAGTTGTGCTCAGCTCAACAACAATCAACAACATCAACAACAACAGTTTCAAGAGTGGAAGATTATGGATCCAAGCAAGGTCAAATCTTAATAGTCTTAATTTCTTCTCCATGTATCATTGTACTGCCAATTGGCCCAGGGTTGAGATTATTTTCTTGGTGTTGTGCTTCAATCTGTATTGAAGACTGCAGACCTTGACCTTCTGCAGCAAATGCTTCATGTCCTCCTCAGTTTTGGAGAGCATGGTTATGTCATCTGCATAATACAGGTTATTGATGAGTCTTTCTCCAATCCTGTTGCCACATTCATTTTCATAAAGTCTAGCCTCCCAAATGATCTGTTCCACATATAGATTGAAAACATATGGAGAAATGACACATCACTGATGCACTCTTTTCTTGATTTTGAACAATGCTGTATTTCCTTGCTCTGTTTGTATGACTGCTTGTTGGTCTAAGTATAGGTTTTACATGAGTACAATCAAGCATTCTTGGATTCCCATACTTCATAATGTTAGTTACAATTTATTTTTGTGATCCACAGTCAAATGTCTTTGCATAGTCAATAAAACACAAATAGACATTCTTTTAGCATACTCTTCTTTCAGCCAAGATTCATCTGATATTGACAATGATGTCCCTAGTTTCTAAACAAATAACTGAACATATCACCTAGCTAACTTTACAAGTAAAATTACATTTACCTTATGTTTTGATGTGTAATTCTCATTTTCTTTTACACATTATTCTAGGGAGAAAATCCATTATATTCGAACTGAGGGTAATCATGGACTTGAAAAATTGTCCTGTGATGCAGATCTGGTAATTTTGCTGAGGTAAGTAGCTAAACTTTGTGAGTTTATGAAATAGTATCTGAAAAACCATCTTCCCTGGACAGTTTCTCTCAGCACATCCCCGATGAGAGGGACAAGGATGGAAACATTTGCTATTTTTCCATGAACATCTTAGTGGCTTCAACTAAAGTAGGATTCTGACCCTTTTACCTCCTGCCACCATGTTCTTTACATTTAAAACTGGGATGTAAAAATCTACATATGGTATTGGACAGAGAATTTGCCAATGTTTGCAAAAACCCTGAGAATTTGCCAGCCAAGTTATACATATCTTTTGATATTATGCTTAATTTGATTGTTTCTGTTGCTTTGTGAGAACTTTAAGAGCTATTATCCCGAAGCTTAAGCACTTCCTCATGAATGAGAACTAACTTTTTGTTTTATGTATCTGTAAACATTGCAGCCTCTTCGAAGAAGAAATTATGTCTTACATTCCCCTGCAGGCTGCCTTCCACCCTGGGTACAGCTTCTCTCCCAGATGTTCACCATGTTCCTCACCTCAAAACTCCCCAGGTATTTTACACACGGGGCCAAGTACTCCTTTTAAATGTTCCTAGATGGTGCCAGTGCTTGACACGCTTAAATGCTAACAAAAAATTGACAGTCCAAATCCATTCAGAAGTGTCTAGGAAGAAAGACTTGAAAACTCACTCATAACTCTATGAAAATTAGTTATTCACTCAAAACTCTATGAAAATTAGTTACTCTGGCACACATAATGTTGCCAAGAGTCATCAAATCCACAACTGGATTAGTGGTGTAAACAATCACCTCTGTTTCTACAAGATGAAGGTGAAATAAAGAGGAATTGTCTGTATATCCTCTTTTTTATTTTTATTTTATTAATTTGAATGAACATTTACAGAGATTTTGGATTTTCATTCATCCATTGTTGTACTTTTTTCTTTACCGCCCTCCCCCCAGTTCACTCCTCTCTTTGAAAAGCAAAAGATAAACGTCTTCATTGGTATACAACCCCCCCGCCCCCGCCCCAAATGCACTCCACTATGCAACCTTAATTCTGGATGCCCTCTTAAGCTTCCTCCTTCTCTAACTTAGTTTTGTGGTCAGAAGCTCAATTTATAAATCAAGTGCCAACAAATTACTTCCTCTTATTGAATAGCCACCAAACTATTTTTTTTAATTGCAGGGGAAGTGTCTAATAAAAATAAGAGTATTATGTCATGACACATAAAATTGTATTAAATTGAAATTTTAGTACTCAGAAAAAGTTTTATTGGAGCCCCATCTCACTGGTTAATTCACATACAATATTGTATGTGCCTGGTGTTGTGTTACAGCAGCAAGTTGGAGTAATCAGGCAGAGTCCATGTGGCCTTCAAAGCAAAATAATACTTTTTCTTTTTTGTGCTGACTTTAGTTTGCTGACCTCGGATTTATGAGCAGCAGCTCCTTTCAGAAACATTCTTCAAACCTTTAAATGGCATAGGCAATTTCTGAAACAATCTGCTTTGATTTGTAATTTTTTAATACCAATTTTGATATCCTTTTCGTAAATTGCAATATGGAGCTTGCATGGTAGAATAAATTATCCAGGATACAAATTTTTTTTCGTTATTTCTTATTCCAATTAATGTTATAAGTTGAATCGTTAAGAGGGAAACAAAGACTTATCTCCTGGCCTTCAAAGGATAAATTCAAACTCAAACTCATTGCTAGCAAGATGGAACTGACTCATAACTAACCCGGCAGAAGATTTATGGCAAGCTATAAATCACCTGGGAAGAGTTTTTCCATATTTCTCCCTTAGAGCTGTTGGTGGATTCAAACATCAGAGAGGTGCACCTGTGGATTAGCAGTTCAGTTTCCTATAGACTTCATTATTTGTCCCGTAGCTAGATCCAGATATAGGAGTGTTTGCTTTGCATCATTATTGTTCTCTGTAGTAAATGCATATTTCTTTTTATAATTAAAGCTCAAAATACTTAAGACATTAGTTTGAAAAATCTAGTAACTACACAGTTTACAACTTCTTAAAGTTTGGCTTTTGAAGACAGTGGAGGAAAATCAGAAAAGAAATAGAATTTAGCAATATGATAAACATTCTGTCGTTCAGAATGCATATCTCCTTCAGAATTAATGTCACTCAGTGTTGTCACACATCTCTGAAGTTGGAATACCTTTTCTTTTGGCTTCTCTACATCCTATTATTTAGAAATGATAGAGATAAATTGATAGAGGTACTAGAAATGATACCTGTATTAGAGGTAATTTGCCAGTTGCTAAAACCTGGTGTTTGTTTTTGGGGTTTGCTGGGTTTGTTTGGGGTTCTTTTTTTTTTAATATCTTGTTTATAGTTTCCCCTTGTGGCACAGGTGCCAAAGGCATTTTCAAGAAAATACTGATGCTCAAAATCCCTAGCCCTAAGAGAGATGCAATTTAAAACAACTATGAGATATCATCTCACCCCAGTCAAAATAGCAAAATTTAACAGAACAG